TGTTTGAAACTGAAGGACCAGGGCACCATCTCTGAAAAGAGACACACATGTACAGTCCGACATCATTATTTGAAAGCCTATATCATGTTCATCCGTTTGGGAAACTGCATAGCGTAAGGAGCAGATCTATATCAGGACGTAGCACAGCAGTTGCCTTGTGTCGTTCAGTTTTGAAGCAGCGGGTACCGCGAACTGTTTTCAAGATGTATTTTTGGGGGGGTAAGGGCAAACCCGTTATATATAATTAACATCTCCCCAACGCAGGATTTTGAGAAACAGGATTAACAACGTAGCAAAAAATTGAAAGAGTTTTATCAATCCTTCATCAGTGCTGCTAAATCTAACTCAAAGAAATTATAGAAAGTTATTAAAACCATTTTTCCATCTTATAAAAATGATAATACAGGTAATATTAAATCTGATAATGAAATACTGACTAATGGACTGGATATTGCAAATGCATTTAACAGCTTCTTTGCTAATGTTGGTTCTACCCTAGCCGTTGCTATACTCACTACAATGAGTTTGCAAGTCGAATTTGATCCCATTAATGAGGCTCCTCAGGACACACAAACAGGGGGAGACTTGTTTCAATTTGAGCGTGTAACATCCCATGAAGTTTTTAAGTTGCTTGGTGCCTTTGATAGTTCTAAGGCTACTGGTTTAGACGGTATTGCGCAAGGTTGCTTAAGATTGGTTGTAGGTAGATTGCAAGGCCGTTAGCTCATATTATGAACATGAGTCTTTCCACTGGTGTTGTGCCCTCGGCTTGGAAGTTAAGTAGAATTTCTCCAATCTTCAAGGAGGGTGATTACCTTGAGATAACCAAATTACAGTCCAATTTCGGTGCTCCCAGCTTGCATAAAAATTCTTGAAAAGCTTGTTCACAAACAGTTACTTGAGTTCCTGAATCGGAATGAAATTTTGACGGATAACCAGTCTGGTTTTAGGCCACTGCACTCGACCCAAACTTGTCCTTTAAGGGTGAAAGATTACTTGCTTGAAAATATGAATTCTGGGTATGTTACTAGTGCCATATATTTGGACTTCAAGAAAGCCTTTTTTGACACTGTTCATCACGGACGTCTCATTGGAAAACTCAGCAAAATAGGAGTGCGTGGCCTTGAGCTGGACTGGGGTTCCTCTTACTTGTATGGACGACAGCATATGACTAAAATTGGTGACAATTTCTCTGCCTACTCTGATGTTATTTATGGGGTGCCTCACGGTTCAAGTTTGAATCCACTTTTGCTCACCTTTTACATTAATGACCTTATAAATGTTGATTCTCCTGACTCTAGAATGTTTTTATATGCTACTGATACAGGCATTTTTATCATCCGGCTAAGTCTGCAGACAAAGTCAATAAAGCTCTTAATAGAGACGTGGCTGAAATATTTAAATGGTTGCAGGCAAATTTTTAACCTTGAATATCAACAAAACTAAAAGTGTGCTGTTTGGTACTCACGCCAAATTCAGGTATTGTGAGGAGAATTTGCAAATCAAAATCAACAATAACAATATTGCTGTTGATAATGTTACTCATTTTAAATATCTATGGGTCTGGTTAGACCCTTCGTTAACAAGCTAGGGATGTTCATATCGATAAGTTGGTTAAGAAAGTTAATAAGCGTATTGGGGTCCTTCGGAAAGTCAAAAATGTCCTCCCGGTGCACACACTAAATCTGCTATACAAAACTATGATCTTGCCACAGTTTGATTACTGTGAGGGTAAAGTGGGGTAACCCTTCAAAAACAAACCTCAGTAAACTCAAAAAACTTCAAAGCAGTGCTGGGAACGTTATTCTGGGTCTTCCCGGAGAGCTCATACAGACTTTGTCCTGTCGACCTTGGGGTGGAATTCCTTAATAGACAGACGTACCCGTCATTTGGTCACGTTCAATTTGGTTTTCAAAAGTTTCACATTGAAATTACCTTCGCAATGACACACCCTCGAATAAACACGTGTTTTTCGAAAGCACCCAAAGTTTATTCCTAAAATCAACCTATAAGAGAGAGCGTCTTTGAATGGAATATAGCTATCACTTCTTATCCAAAATTTGAAATATCCACAAGCTTCTTTCTTTGAATATTTTAATAGTTGAGGCAAAGTAAAATTGTGTTCACTATGACCACTCATTTTGGGGGTTTCCTCAAGTAAATAAAAGTTTTACTGAAACATATCCCCATACTGTTTTAAACTTAAAGATTTAAAGTTTGTGCATGACTTTGTCATCAAGTTTGTGATGTCATCTAAGGCACAGCTTTAAGATCTCAGCTGGTTGTGCACAAACTTAAAGATTTTTCTTTTCGTAAAAGGAAAACGACACTAATGAGTGTTTAGACTTTCCAATACTTATTGTAGGGTGACCATCACTCCCTGTGGCAAAAATTGGGTTCTTAATTTTTTTTTAATGCTTTTGTGAGAAAAAAGGTGAAGTATCACCTTCATAACGTGCAGTTTAAGATATGTCATTTTTTGGAAATTTAATTATTACATAAGATCTTACAATAATTAACTTATCCTTTTTTAGACTGTCAGACATGGATTTGAAATGCTGAAATTTCAAAATATCGATTGCTTGAAAAATCTTCCAGTGAGGGACTACAGAGCATAAAACCTTACAAAAATTTGCCGATCCTTCACTGTACAGAATTCGCGCTACGCGCTCACAGTCACATGCATTGGACTCCCCACAGATTTCATTTTCTGCCCCCCCCGCAGAATCATCTTCCTACCGTGCCTGGGTCCAGATTATCTTTTCGACGCTGTAAGTCCTAGGCACCTAGTGCCTACGACAAATAAGACGGCCTACGGAAATGTGAGGGCAAAGCTTTGAGGGCGGGCGAAAATATTACAGTGTACCCGTACTGTGCACCATAAAACACACACGGTCAAGGTTTCGATGCCAGAAAAGCTCACAACAACAGCTTATTCAGCGTTGCATCAGTATGAAATATCCGGCTCCAGCCTTATGAGACTGGTCCTCAGTAGTGACTGTACGTAAGACAAAGTAATAAGGCCTGTGTAAAACACTGGTGCCCAAGGCCTAGAAAATTCTGGTGCCCAAAGGCCTGGGCCAACAGGACGCTTTATCCTGCTATGGGTTCATGCTAAGCCGACGTCGGAGCCCTCATTATATAGCTTCAAATTGGCTTAAATGCGATATTGGATCTAAATGCGATATTCAGTTTGATAAAGCCCCTACTGTGAAAAAATACCTATTCATCTGCGAGTACTCTTGACCTCTGAATATTAAGAAAGTCAAAACGGGAGGGATCCTCATCGGTTTGGTCACATGCTAATGACGGCAACCAAACCTTCGTTTCTTTAACGTTAATGTTCACCTGACCTATGTAAGTTTTTGTTTTAGCGGCCAGTAAGGGCCTGATATCTCTAACGGTTTTTCGACAACAAAAAGCCCTGCGTTACTTTTGACACAAACTTTTCTCTTTAAACAGGGTGGGAACCCCCCGAAAACATCAATCATATTATTACTACACCATAAGAAAGAAGACGCATTTTGTCTTCATGTACATGTCCAAGCATTCAAGCTGCAATGTGGAGGTGTATTGTGGGATCAGTGTATATGAAATGCCGGGCAAAGAATGCACAAGTCGTGTTTGATTAAAATGACTACGGCTTACAATGACGCACTCGTCTGAAAGTAACTGATTCGTGGCCATGTCCCTTACAGGCTTGCCCAGGGTCGGGGCTTGCTTTACAGATTGAAAGGGAAGATAATTAGTATTTTCAGCAGGAGTGTCGAGACTTTTATGTGGGATTATTTCGAGTCCTTCGCCTCCTAAAACCAAATTTCCACCCACACTTCCATCTAAGCCCAATCGCTTAGCAGCAATAATCCAAGCCCAAAGTAAAAGTCTTCATTACTGTGTTGTACACTTTTGGTCCAGTTTTGTGCAATGGGAATGTTTTGTTACAATTGACTTGCTTATGTTTTCTGGTCTTTATGTATTTTGTGTAATCACTGATTGTGTCTGCGCTTCAAACTAGTATCTTTTCCATTCAATAATTTCCTAACTGGATAAATGGAAAGTAATGAAGATGTATGAGCCTCTCGCAGGAAATCATCGAGATGTCAGGGTCATGTGTAAAGCGGATAAATCAACAAAAGTCGATGTTCCTCGCTTAAAGTTAACGCCAGCAGCAACAAGGTTGCACGACCCGTGTTGATTCCGTTTCTACCCTTGACCTCGTCCCTGCACAGACAAGAAAGGAAGCAACCAGTTAAGTAGACGAGTCCAGACACCCCAATGGATTTGCAAGATGTTTTTGTCATTTGGAGGTTCCCCTGACGTCGTGGGACGTTCCTCTGTGCAGTGTCGCAAAGGACGTATTCGTTGGCTCGGGGTCGGATTTTAGCTGCGCGTGGACTATCAGCAGATTGTCCGTGCCTTGACTCTCGGCTTGAACGTTGCAAACATCACGCGAACAGGGGCCAGCGATACCTGTGGGCATTATTTGGTTGCAGCCAGTTGGGGGGGAGTTCCGGTTCTTCACTGAATGTCTCGGGCCCAGGCACTACGCAAATACGCGAATTTCACGCTGGCAGGAAATAACAAACGGAAGACGGGTTGTTGAGTGTCTTGTCTACATGTACATTCGCCCTGCCTCACCTCATCAGCACAAGGATTCACAACGAGGAAGCAAACAACTTTGTACGATTGCAGATGCGGACTCAGTGGTACGAGGGTTTTCCCCTATGGTGTCACAATCTTCACAACTCCACCAGTAGCTGCCGAGCGGATGTTTTGAGTGCTGGAAAACGTAATTTTCCTTGACAGACATTTCAAAGGCCGGGTAGTTTTGCAGTTATCAGAAGTCACAAGGGCGCAACTTCAAGCCTCGCTCTCTCTCACGATGTTAGCCCCAAACTAGGGACCTTCGTGCCCTCGTGCCAATCAAGCAACACTAACCTTTGTGCTCATGGGAACGTTTGACCTTCACGGAGACAGAGGTATTCAGAACAACCAGTACCGGTACATCTATAAAAAATATCAATTGACATATGTTCAAAAGTTAACGACAACTTCCTCGAGGATGTGGGACAGGTCTCCCTCTCTATGAATATTACAGAGTATGTGCATGGAATTGGTGATGTAATCACCACAAGATTCCCGACACAGACTTTGTTGAGACGGACAGAGAAAATACGTTTCGTACGTTACGTGGAAAGAGCAACTCCGAGAGCAAGCAGGCGAACCCAGACGGCGATGCCCTTCCGAACCGTGCTGGTTCTGCTCTTGTTTGTATTCTACGTTAGCTGTGGACTGACAGCCGCCGGTGAGGCGTCGAGAGGCCGAGGACGGGCCAGATCCCGAGTTAGGCGGCCAAATGGACCCAATATCCCAAGGAGGGAAGAGGACAGCGCCGATCAAAATCATGAGACCACGAACGACGTGGGCAAGCCGTTGGTGTTCAGCCAGGATATTTACGACGCAGAGGTGACCGAGGATGCCCCGGTGGGCTCGCTTGTGCTCACCATATTGGCTTCGCTTACCAGAAACGGTAAAACTAGTTACATGAACCTTGTAGATTGAAGTGTCATTGTGTCAGTTGATGTTTAGGGTCTGGTGTGCTAAAACTTTATGATTGCTAATTGGGTGAAAGACGTTTGGGCTCATGGCAACGTCGGACTGATTAATTGTGTAGCTTCACTCAGGGAAAGTCTTTGTAAAATCGATATATCATGCCCTCGGCTTGTATCTTAAGAAACGTGTCATTCAGGTGTTCACGAAAGAGATCCCCTCAGTTCATATAACAAGAAAGATTGAGTTTCTCCGTCGCAAAGGTCAGTGTGGTGTAGTCTTACTACATAAGGAAGTGCTGCGACGAGTGAAAGACTGATAATGAATGCGAAACACAGAGCAGTTTGTGCAACCCACCTTGACTCGAATTGCCTTTTCCCCTGACTGCAATAGTCTGGAATATTCCTCTGGGGTTAAGAAGGTTATGTGACCCGCAAAGGGCATGGGGGTCCATGGCATATTTCTCTGTATGACATGCTGATGTCAGCAACTGTTGAAAGATCACATTTCATGAGAAAACAGCATAAACACTAAGCTTTATGAGCATATTAAACGTAAAAATCAAGAGGTGGCCCCAATTGGGAAACTAAACGGAACACGGGTGAATAGGCCGGGGGGATTATGTCACCTGTTGGAGTCAGCTTATCCTTCCTCCAATGGTTATTCCAACGACTCCACTTCAATACCGAATCAAAAAAAGCGAAAACTCACCTGTCAAAAACACGCTAACATATGCTTGCAGGAAATAGAGTTGATAGATCGATGGCAAATGTTTTGCCTTTGTCTTGGGGCCATTTAGGCGCTAAAGAGACAGTGGCCTCTGCCCTGCGCCGCCGGGTTTGATCACTTCCTTCCCGGCCTGTAGCGGGTGTTTTTCACTTTTCCAGCCAACGTTTCAAGTCGCAGTCTTCGTTAAAGTGCTGTTTGGTTTGGATCTGTTTGTCGTTGCATAAATGCCCAGAAGTTCTGGAGTGAGATTAATGGAGTCCTATGATGCCAATATGCTACCCATGATCATTTGCGACATTTATCTGAAGTCAGGACATCATTATTAACCAGATAAAACCCAGAATGCCTTCGTTGGGTGTTCTAACAGATTTCATCAAACAGAAAACCGAGCCGGAAAAGCTTACCTTACGCAAACGTCCAATAATGTCAATGCGATCCGTGTACATTTTATAGGTTAACGCGATAGAAAAATAAACTACACAGGTTGGGGTGATGAGGTACCTCACAACCAGGGTTTAGGAGCACATTACAAGAGGTGCTAATGAAAGAGTGGATCACATTGGCCTTGAAACTCTCTGACCTATCCGTGAACGTCAAGCTGGTCAAGCAATTTCACTGTTATGATAGAATGCGTTTGCCTTGTTAGAGAAGGGAGACCCTCGCCCACTTCAATAAACTTATTTTCATGATACATTTAGAAAGGGAATTTAGCAGTCCAAGTTTCAACTGTGCCATTCGTGATTGAAAACATGAGTGATATCTTCAGAGAGGAGTTCATGGCTGCCCCAACCCTCTTCTCTCAAGGCACAGGTCTTCCCACTTGATTTTGTGCCTTTAAATATAAAAAAGGTGACAGTTGCGGTCACCATCGTCCCCCCATGAGACTTCAGCAGCATTGGTGCATTTCAACTAATTCAATTTAATGGGGAAATGGGAAATAAGTCATGCAAATTCTTCCGGAAAAAAGGCGTATCTGAGGTTGGGTCCCGATTGATCCTGTTCGTCTTGTTGAACAGTGCTCCTTTTTGTTGTTATTCTTTTGACTGCAAGCGCCGCCAAGGGTGTATAGATTTAGGGAGATCTGTCGGACTAGTTATCCAATTTGCTTCGCAAGTCTTCTCCTACTGCGGTCTGGCTGTGGGTCCCGGCATGTCCTGGGGACCCACCGCACAGTCCCTGCGGGAGTAGAGGCTAGAAGGAAACGAAGTACTTAGATGAAACTGGACAGCCCATAACTAGCATTCATGACTTCTTATTACTCACATAATTGTGCTGAAATTGTTGACGGAACTTCACAAGAGATGAAACTGCCACTGTATTTCACAGTCAGACTTGCCCAAGTCGTTTCAAAGTCTGCCATGTAGCCTACTTATTTAGTGCACAACTGAAGCGTGCTCTTTCTCAAGTAAAAAATAACCTCTCAGCTCAGCTGTCAGATGTCCCCATTACGTTCCTTCATGTGGTGACAGATTAAATGAAACAAAGTTGCAAACACAGCACAACAGCTAAGCAAATAACCGTCTTTGTTTCACCAAAATTTATGAAACAGTAGTTAACTGCACATGTATATCACATTGTTAGTGATGTGTCTGATCCGAGAGAATTTAATAGAATTTGTACTTGGCAGGGAAGAAAACGAGTCTTTGTATAGTAGTAACTGATAGTGGTCCTTTTAAGATGCACGTACAGTGTACATGTATGTGGTTCCACATGCAGGGTTAGACGATGAAACATGTAGGTATGCGAGGTCTGTTATGGCAAAACAAGCTAATAGTCCGAGACATGTCACCTGGCCTGGCCTCTGCGGGGCTTTACACCCTTGCGTTGTTGTTGAACGTGCTCCTTATCATAACATTTGATTCCCGTCTTGTAATACTCTCAGCAAACCTAAAGCCTATTATTTCGTGGCGAGACACTTTTTATATTCAAAACGGCTTTTATAATATGATTATGTTGACAAATGTACAAAGTCCTTTACTAAAAATTACTATTTACGGGTTCGCCAAACTGTGATCGTTGAAATCACCCTCCTCCCTTTTAAGAACCACAACTCGGCATTTGAGTCAGGGCTATTGGAACTGAGAATTGGAATTCAGTTCCAGCTCTCAATTCAAATCTCACTGACGAGCAAATAAGAAGAAAACTAAACCAAGCAAAATAATGCAAAAACAACTTAGCCCAAAAAGTGTCAACTCCAATAAATTGGATGGTAGGCTGATAATTTAGGGCTCGTCTACCGCCTATGACAATTTCATTTGCTTCCCTAGACCACATTTCAATTTAAAAAAGGTGTTATCATTTAAAAACTGGCGTGATGTGCCCCAAGGTATTACGGGGAAGTACCAATTATATTATCATGAATGAAATAACCGCTACTGTATACGCGGACCACCATACATTGCCGGCTGCCTTTGGCAGAAGTATATCTTCATTTGGAAGTGTTGGCATAATGAGATGGACGCTGATTCGTTCGACATAAGAGTTCCAACAGGGACAGTCTGAATAAATTGTAATCGTGCGTACGCAGTCATATAGACAAAATCTTGTTCCTTTATAATTTTGAGTAGGGGATATTGTTATATAGTTTCTTTCAACACGTGGAAATAAACGGAAATAGGATCAGGCCTGGGTGTTGTCCAACAACGGAAGGGAAAAATATAGACTACAGGGTCAAGTTATGGAAATAGCAGCCAAATGTGCTCGGCAGTCTTAGGGGAACTGAAGTGATCCTAGAAAAAAATGATACAAGTTATACGTCAGAGATCTGTCGGTCAGAGTTTCTTAGTTGGGCTGTCTTCATTATTTGACCTACGGTCTACAGAAAGTTTAAATATTTTGAAAATTAGATTTGTTTACACACCAAATGGCAATGTAGATGACAACCAACTTGTCTGTTGTCGAATATGAACTTCTCTCTTATATGAGCCTCGAGTTGGAACAAGGCAGGGCACAATTTTCTTAGCGACGGAGGCTCTTTTGGTCGGAAGTGAACTTCGCTGGTTCACGATCGACTAGGAAATGCACGTGTCACGGTCGCGTCGCTACCAGACCAAAACGGCTCTTTTCAACCCATGAGGAGGTGCTTCTGCTCCAGGCAGAAAGCTGCTGAATCTACAGTATAATGTTATTTATATGCTTAAATCCTGCCTAAACCTAGTGCAATGAACTATTTTTGAGCCAAGTAGGGTGTTTAGCTTTCAACTTTCTACATTAAGGGCCCACACAATATAATTTAACGTCTACAGGCCTTTCTTGTTATATACTCCGTGTTTGATTTTGTCGTATGTCTTCAGTTTTTGTTCTTCCATTTTATTTGGTCTTTTGATACTTTTTTCAAATTTTGCCATTTGCAAATTCCTGAGCAAAAGTGTAATGCCATCGAATCCTGAAAACTCGGCTATTTCTGCAATATAGGCCTACATTTGAGATGTCACAGAGTGGGTTTGCTTTGGTAGTTCCTTGTACCCTGATACAATGACAGTAAGCCGGTGAGCAATGTTTTCACACAAATATCCCCAGTAAGCAAATTGGGTTCACAATTCAACCCCCCCCCCGGTTTTCCCTTTTATGGCATCCTGTTATGACAGTTAGCACCCTCCTTTTTCAGGACAAGAATGGACATTTTCAAATGTTTTAAAAAGTTCAATTTTCATTGCGAGCGACCAAAAGGCAGGTATTCTAACATTTAAAAGAAGAAAGTTGTACAAAATTTACCTCGTGGACCTTGAATGAAGTACGGTTTTAATAGAACCACAACTCCGTTTCGATTCACGCGGACCACCGTTCAAGTGAGTGCTCGTCGCACACTAAATTCATGACTATACTAAATTCAAGCCCAGGGACACGGAAGTTATGTTCAGTGTGTACACCACGCTCCTTGTTAGCGTATTTCCCTCCAAGCCTGAGGGAATAAGACAAACGCGCGCGCCAGCCCATGCAAACCTCAGCGTTTCCTTTGGGCTGGCACCGAGGCATACCCAGGAGACTGCTATCGGATTGTTCAGTTGGGAGGTGGGGCGCTGGGATTTTGGAATGTGGCAATAAGGTGGTAAACAGTCTGGCTAAGTTTCCGTCATGTGGAGAGTTTACGTGTCCCAATTACATACATGTACATGTACATGTGTACGCCCACGCAGTGCCTTCGAGCGCACAGCGACACTGTTGACAGTAATTAACAACACGGACATGCACAAACATGACAAGGTATATAATGGGAACTCACAACTCGGCACTGGCAAGTTGGGGAAATCTAGGAGGTGACTAGTGAACTGTATGGACTAAGGTGGATTTCATTTTTGTTTTCTACAAAATAATACAGCGTAAGAACGTTAATGAGCAAAACCCCAAGTTACAGTTCAAGACAGAACTTATTCCCACACATCACCTATAGACCCTTCAGTTGTCATATTTTGTCAAGCACTGGTTTGGTTAACCAGGCCTAGGTTTTGTCAACCATTGCAATGGTTGACAAATGGTTGCTGACCGTCAGTACTGAAGACAAAGATTCATCTCAGAAGCAAACTGTAAAACTGAATGTTTTGGATGAAACATAGGTGTGAGGCCAGGACATTACAAAGGTCCTTGTGAACTCTTTCACAGCAGACGACACGACAGTTTGCGTTCTTTTTGTGCGACGGAAATCACCAAAACGCAACACACCTCTGTGTTTATCAGATTTGATGGTGTATACTTGTATATACAGTAATAGCCCCTAAGTGTGTGTTTGCGTTTGATTCCAGGTCTGCTTCTTGCATATCATCGGCAAGTACTTGTATGTTTGCTCTACAGAGCTTAAACGACTTATCCCACATTCCAAGCATATCTTTCAAGTTAACTTCATCTTGCAAGTTAATTCCAATTTATATATAAGTGAACGTCCAATGACTGTTTGACGTCAAAGCCTCCGGTTTACTAATCCTGTATTTCAATTTTCAAAGTACTGACAAGTGCTATCAGTCGTCCATAGGCCACTTATGGACTGGAAGATTGTATTAAGTCAATTGCAATAGCATGGTCGCTGGGTGTGGTGTATCGTGACTTTCCTTGCTTTATACATGTAGGCTTATGTCCATGCGTCATAGATCATCAGCGTTTTGACGGAGGAGAGCCTTTCATATGCAAGGATCCGGGGATGTCAATCTCCCGTACATTTTAAGTCATAATTTCTGGCTTGAAGACATCCTCATCTCGCCTCTAGCTGACTTTATAGTTCCCAACGCAGTAGTTAAAATAAAAGTCCGCATGATAAGCTACCCAACAGGATAAATCATAGCATTTGAGGCTCAGGAAGTTCCGAAATTCCACATTAGTCACCTTAGTATATTTGACCCAATTGTATCGACCCCCGTTGGCAGTAAATGCAAAAAGACCGATCTGTGGAGGTGACATAAATGCGGTGACACAACACTCATGCATATGTTCCTGAGCCTGACGCGCGCGTCCTTTTAAGAAAAGAACAATTACTGCACACTGTAAATGAATGGAGGAACATTTTGGAGGGGTACCTAGGGGTGCACACAACTGGAAGGGGCAATGCAAGCAAATAACCTGCTGCTTCTACGTAGTTTTCAGTTTATCTCAGGAATACGGGCGATTCACAAAGTGCGTCTCCAAGAGTTGCAACGTGTTGGCCAATCAAAAAAAAAGATGAGCGAAATCTGTCGACCCAATGCGCGTTTGCAAAGGGTCGACAGATTTCGCTCTTTGTGATTGGCTAACTCTTGGACACGTACTATTGTGAACGTGGGGGTGGGAACCGTTATCCATTTGGGGGTATCCTTGTCCCCTGTCTTGTAGTAATGCTGTTAGTCACAATCATTGATATCAATTATAAAGATTGGATAGGACACGCGTGCGCTTACGCATGATGAGGATTCGGAAATTCTTTTTGTTTTAAAAGAATGAAACTTACACGGCTGAAAGGCAAGTCCAGCTGCGCGGTTATCGGCAGTCTGGACTGAGGGCATCCAACGGCCGTGCAAGTCCAAACAATTTTTCAGCTTTTCCCTAAAAAAGAGAGAGAAAACCTGGAGCAAGAAACTCTTCAGCCAGACTAATTTCCCTGTGCGCAGCATATCTTGCGCGCGCCGGTCTGGTGTGACGATCGTAATTCAAAGTTTTAAACCCTCACCGATGAAACGCGTGCGTGCACCAGATGGAGGGCGCCGTGTCTTATCCAGTCTCTATAATGGAGATCAAAGGTCACAATCCATATTTACAGCCATAGTCACAACAATCTTTCTGTTGTTTTTCAAACATTGACCGTCATCCTATTATTTTGGCTTCAATTAAAAGTAAAATCTTCACCCTTGATTGGTAACAGATTTTGCTTAAAATTTATCCCTTTTAAATAATGCATAATACTTCCCCGTAGTTTTGCATAGGCTATGCTCAGCTTATATTCGATATTTTACGCTTTAGTCTTTCAAACGATATATTCATTCAATATAACTTACCGTATTTATATCATTTCTTTTGTAGCGAGAGCTTTTCTATGCGTTCTAAGAAACTTTGCGAAACCCGTTGTCGCGGTTTGGCAAACTGTGCGCTCAGTGTGAGCAACTGAATAGTCTATCCTTTTTTCAACTCGCTGTTCTTGATGCGCATGCTTACATAACAGATGGTGCAAAAATGGTCACATCATAGCTCAAATAGTACTTAACGTCCTCTCCTGGGAACAGAATACCCTGGAGGACATCAGATTGTCCTGGAGAATTCTGTCCGGGGGGACAGAACCTCCATCCATGACGTAGGCCACACCCTGCAGGGGTTCTTTACCCCTGTAAAAAACAGAGATGGAGGATTTAACTGAGACCTCTCACTTCTCACGATATATTACGACCTAACGTAAGTAGTCATTTCTGACTTCCATTATACCTTTCTTCCGTTTATTGCTACAGAGGACACCAATCAAGACATCGGATATCAGATCAAAAAGAGGAAAACTGATAAAATTGCGCCACCGTTCAGAATCGATACACACACTGGCGAAATACGAACGCTGAGGGCACTCGACTTCGAGACTGAAACTGAATACACTGTGCTAGGTTATGCCGGTGTCCAGGGAAACAGTAAGCTTAAAGCCAAAACCAAGATAACAATCAGAGTGCTGAACGTGGACGATGTACCTCTGAGGTTCACGAGAGACAGTTACGAAGCCTACATTAATGAGAACAAGATCGGTCAAGTCAACAACTCAGTGGAGTTACAGCAAGGCGACTCGCAGGTGGTATTTATGCTAATGGAGTCTGTTCCGCTTTATGGCATCGATATGTTCAGGATCAACCCCGGAACAGGGGAGGTGTCGACCACCACACCCCTGGACCGGGAAGAGTTCGACAAGTTCATCTTGGTGGTGGTTGCAAACTCCAGGAAGCAGTCTGCACAGACGCGACTCGTAGTACACGTGAACGATTTGAATGACAACCCGCCAACATTCCCCCATCACGTCATGACGTTCAGGATCTACGAAAACGCCCGCTGCTGGCTGCCTTTAAACGCCACGGACAAGGATATTGGTGAAAATGCAGTGGTCAAGTACCGTATCGCTTGGGGTAGATCTCGCTCATTCATGATCGAGGAAGACACAGGGGTCATACGAAACATACGGAGGATAGACTACGAGAGAAATAAGATCTTTAGACTCGTCGTCAACGCCTACTCCGGAAACCTGTTCGGATATACAAGAGTAGTAATACGCGTGATCGACACCAACGACAACCCACCGATACTGAACGACTTTCAGGTGAATGACATATCTACTATGAGACCCACATAGCCCTCATAACTAACACATTATTGGTCCAAGTAAAATGTTCAGAAAACAATGTTGTAAATCCCATCACAGTTTTGTTTATGCTGACTCTTCAATGCATAGCTACAAACCTGCATGAATCTATAGATCGGCATGAATTTCCTTCCGGTGTGCATGCACCAGTTCTATGCACCATTTTGTTAGTCAGAGTGGCGATGAAGCCATTACAAGTCATACTTTAAACACTTCTATCACAAGTCGTTCAATATAAAATTGAGTCAGAAGCTATTCAGATAAGCTGTGACATTTGGTTTGACTTTTGACTGACGGATTGTAAATCGGCATACTGTAAAAAAAAAAGGGATTTAGTGGCCAGCTTCACCATGGAGGAGATACATATAGCGGAGGGGAGTTCGGTTCCTCAATCAGTCTCAGCGTTCGATATGCAAACTGATGAGAAATTACTCAAAGTTCTAAAATTTTCGGTAAAATTGCCTTAGAATGCAGGACTCCTGTATTAAGGACACGCAAGTACTACCCCCGTTTTCTCCTACTGTTCCTGAAAGCTATTGGTTTGCCCTGTGGGGACTGTCTTCCCACTAAGAAGATCTCTACGGCAATGTTCACAACTAATTACACCATTGTCTCATTGGTATGTTTCATGAAGGTGATCTACAACGCTCTTCCTGACTCCCTGTCTGGTGCCGAGCTGACCCGAGTACCCGCACAGGACGTGGACCGTGAGGGGACGTTAAGATACGGCATAGTGCCTGGTCGGTCTCGCTGGAATAACCTTGTTAAGGTGGATGAAATCACGGGCATTATCAGTCTGTCTAAGAAGAAAGCCAAGAAGGTCCGAACCAAAGTAGTGACAGACATCACCTTCTATGTCACGGGTGAGTTGTCATGTATAGATGCCACAGATCTTGGGCAATATTGTGTTTCTTACTGTGAACAACAGTAAGCACGGGTTTGAAGTGTACTGCCAACGGACCGTGGTCACGTGCCTTGAAGTTCTGACCAAAGTGAGAAGTGCAAAGCACATGATTCAATCATTTGAGGTGGTAACAATGACATCAAGGTGCAGTGTATAGGTCTAATTTGACTTGCAAACGACATTGAAGAGCCTTAGGATTCTGATCCATTGGAATATTCGTCTTTCAGAAATATTAATTCTATTAGAGTCAAATTCTGGTAAAAACCGTTATTATGCACTTTGTAGAGGTGGCAAGTTGCGTAAAGAAGTTTGCGGTAGCATCATGCAAGGATATTTCTTTTTGAGTATGTGTGGCTCCGAAAAGAACGGGAGGGTACCCAACGTTTCGGACAGAATGCTTTGTACCATTGTCAGGACGTTTCATCCTCACATCCTAGCCCAATGAGTCTCCTATCCGACCTGCGAAGAATCACCCTCTCATCGGTTGAATAAAGCCATGTTGGTCGGGAATGGTTATTTTGATGGTGGCGATGCTACTGCAACACTTGCGTTTCATAGTCGTTTGTGAGCTAGCGATTAGCTGTTACTACCAAAGGAGCCTCCGTTACTTGGAAAATTGCGCCCTCTCTTGATCCAGCTCGGAACCCATACCCTAGGACATGTTCCTAGCCTATGGGTCTTCTATACCCTTGGGCAACCCTCCCCCACGCTCTCCTACTTCAGACTGACACAACTCACTGATCTGTTGGCCTCCCATATTTTGCTTGAGTACCGTTGGTGGGATCCTATGTTAACATCTTCTCCACACCTAACCGCCTCCATACACCATATAAGCTGCTCCATCTTTGGAACCTCTCCTGACGATGGACAGAGCATACTGTTCGAAACATTTAATACCCTCCGGTTCTTTGGAGAGCAACACTTCTTCAAAAAGAGATATCCTTGCATGGTGCTACCGCAAACCTTTTTACCTAAAACCCGCTATAATATTAGTTAGCTTCATTTTTATCCACGTGTTTACATAGACGGCGTTCACGGTGCGCAAGCTAGCTGTCTGCTTGAGCTGACGCCAGTGTCTATAGAGATGATGGCCAATGGTGTCAGCGTCAATGTCCTGAATGTGACAGGTGACAACTTCCTCCGCTCGGCCCGTCTTCAAGCCCTACGAGACGCTTTGGCCTACACACTCAACTCGCATGCCAATCAGCTAGTCATATTCAATCTGCAGGAGGTAATGTCACTGTGGAATTTTTTGCGGAACACATCATACGTTTTAGATTCTGTCCAAATGATATCAGAATCATATTGATTTATAACCATTCAAGGGTGTGATGTAAGGAGCAGAATCAATCCCTTAGTTTTTCTGCCGTGAACGTATTTTTTTGTTCCATTTCCTTTTGAATTGTTTGGATGATGTCATACTTTTACCCAAATTAAACTTTCCCTTACACAGACGAAATGTTAAAAGTTTTCCACTGGTGCGTTCTTAGGAAATTTCTATCTTCTTAATTGTAAGCAGCCATAATAACAAGATGGTTTGCTCCATATTGGACAGTATCCCTTTACAGACACAATTGCAGGAATGTGGTGGAAGCCATTAGCAATTGCAGTTAACCCCTTATAGACCGTACATTCGTTCTTTGGGCGGGATCTACCCTTCAGTGCTTTTACAAAGAAAGAACGTTTGACGGATTTATGAAATCATTTGGAATTCTGTTCTCAGGTATAAGAAAAAATGGGCAAACGCTTCAAATTTGCAGGCCACTGTCCCGCCCCTCCCTTAAATCACCAAGCCAACAATTTATGCAGCTAGAAGTAATAATTTATTAATTTGTATAGCGAAAATTACATTAAAAGTATGTTCGTATACCATGTACAAAGTGTAACATACGTTTAAAAAATTGAAAGCAAGAAAAGTGCTTAAAAACTAACAAGAAAATTTACCATACTCACAAAATTACTGGAAGTTTCCATTCTATTTGTGGCAAAAACGGCGACTGTTACCAGCCATGACATGGCTTGCGGTTATGTAAGTCCGTTTTTTATGCTGCTGTTAAAGTGTTGAAATTTTTAGCCTATTGGTGATGGTGTCTCAGTTTAATGCAGGATAGAGCATGGACATTTGGTCTAAAACAACAAACTGCACTCCAAAAAGGTCCTTCACCTGACACTTACCCCTTACAAATTGCCAAGAAAGGTGCTGTTCATAGTATTTGTATATATTTTGAATCTTACCTGGCCTGATTCTTGTTTTGAATTTATCTTGTGAATCGGTAGGTATCCTATTTGTTCCAGTAGTGTGGTACCATGGTAGTGACTTGACACTTCATGTTATTCTGCCGTAGGTAGCACGGGATGGCTACCCGCTGCTCAATGTCTCTTTCGCAGCTCGGGATCTGGACAATAAATTCCTCTCCCGCGAGTACATCCTGAGCACTATCTACTTCGAGAGAAGGCGCATCGAGGAGATGAGCGGCCTGCCCATTCTGCCAGCAGAGGATGATGTATGCGTCTTAGAGTCTTGCAACGACCTGCAAAGATGCGTGCCTAAGAAGGTAAATAGTATGAAAAGTGTTAATGTCTCAACGGTAAACAAACTGTTACCACAACGACCGCAAACTTTGCGTGGGTATTATGGTTCAAGGGAATAACTTGTGGATATAAAGCAAATCCACTGCACGGTTTGGGAATTAGGAACTTCACACAAAACTGTCAAAAAGTTACACCGAGAACATGAAATTAACAGAAAAAGTTCACGACGACTGATACTCGTATTTTTGCAAGTGTGGGGTTAATACGCTGTTTGCCCTCTTCCACGTGTATATAGTGGTGGGTTGGCTACAGTTGACAGATGATGTGAAACGTGAGCCAGCGAACCCGCCTTCAAAATGTAGGAGAGTTAAGGAAGATCATCCACGGTTAAAACGTTGGCTTGTAATACGGTCACAGACGAATCCAAGCGCGTGAGTCCTGCAGACCCAGCCAGTTCCCAGTAGACAATGCTGTTGTGGCAGCTACTCATAATCAAGTACCTGACGATGGTTTGGTTTTGGACAATCTCTGTAGCTCGTATAACGCCTACGTCATTACTAGACTGTTTTCCCTGGTACACTCTGCGTAGGTCGGATTGGTATCTAATGAATGGAAGCAATGATCGTTCGTGTAGGCCTATTCAGCGTGTTTTTTTTGGGGGGGGAGGGCAGGCGCCCATTCACTTTTGTTCGTTGATTGGGGTTCTGTTTCAGGTTGGCCGTCACCGAAAACAGTGTAAGAAAATCTTTTGTAATTGTTTGTTTAATTATTTATGCCCTAGAACATACAATTGAATCCCATTGTCGGTTTGGTTGCAGATACTGAGTCAGATCTCGTCGGTCTTCGCTCATTCCAGGGGAGATCTTATAACATTTCGCGGTGTCCATCCTGCCGTAGAGCATACGTGTGAGTGTCCTGACATCTACAGCTTTAACAACTGCTCCGAGGTTGTGGATTTCTGCGAGTCGCAGCCGTGTAGTAACGGTGGGACGTGTGAAGGAACTGACGGCGGCTACACGTGTATCTGTCCATACCACTTTGCAGGTATACTCTGCCCTTTTGTTTGGCGATCGTGACAACGAGTTAACATGAGATAGTAGTGTTTAGATTACCAGGAATTAGTGAAATTTAAGTATTGTGCAAATTTCAGGGGACAACTGCGAGATCGACTTCTCCGGTGGGAGCTGTTTTGAAGGTGCTTGTAAACATGGCGGTCAATGTGTAGACTTGGATGAGGGTGGTTTCACGTGTGACTGTATGTCTGGTTACGATGGACAGCAGTGTGAAATGACGTCACGGTTCTTTCCCGCTGGTTCGTACATGACATTCCCGACCTTGAATCAGCGCTCCATGATGAGGATATCGCTCAAGTAAGTTATAAATGTCCAGCCGATTGGCTAAGATTTTTTTGGTATGAAAGTTTAGGTCATATTCCTGTTGTGTATATGCAATTTTCCTTTCATGGGGGTATCAAAAATTTGTACTTCTGTGAGAAAAATGGTAAATCCTGGAGCTTCTAATCCACGTGGGATTCGAGTGTGATCATTTCGACTGCACGTTACCATTCTCATGCTCATTCTTTTCACCTAATCTCAAGCTTCTCCACAGAGATGAGGAATGGACTCCTGTTGTACGTGTCCCGCTACAGCCAGGTCAACGATTTACTGGCAATCGAGATAATAGACACTCAGATCGCCTTTTCGTTCGCCGTGGGCAAGATGACGATGCGTGTTATGGTGGGCACCCCCGGGGGAGTCAGCGATTTGAAGTGGCACTTAGTGGAGCTAGTTTACCGCGACAAGGTATGGGCTGCAGTTGGCTTTCCGGGGGGAAGGGGACACCGGCTAAAATTAATTTATAATGCGGTTATTAATATCTGGTCAGACAGGCCAGAATGAATTTGACGAATTTGTTCTGCCATATTGCAAATCATGCATCTAAACGCGAGATTAAATTACTTTTGCTTCTGAACGATGTAATTAGGTGACTGAGCACCGCCCTGTTGGGTTTGTATTGGTTTATTCCTCTCCTTTTTATGGAAAAAAATCTGTGAGGATTTCTCCGAATGATGTACGGTATAAGCTTGACATGACCTTTGACTGAGCACCGCCCTGTTGGGTTTGTATTGGTTTATTCCTCTCCTTTTTATGGAAAAAAATCTCTGAGGATTTCTCCGAATGGCGTACCGTATCAGCTTGACATGACCTTTGACCTTTTAAGATGTACATACACATCTAAAGTGACGTCACGATGACGTCAATAGGCACTAAGTTACAAGCGATTTTAGTTTCAGAATCGACCAACGTGTATCAACTGCATCTCATGAACTGATACCGTTGTGGTGTTCTTATTTGGGGATCTGACAGATGAGGTGGGTGACACTGGCGTCTGACCTTTGTGTCGGGGATGTAATGGTTATAATTCAGATACATTTTAATTGTTTAAAAAACTCTAATCAATACAACGGGTTATATCTGCCCATATAATGTAGGACATTGACGTGAAACGTCATACTTGCGTAAACCTTGATTTTGAGATGTGCACGCTTTCGTGACGTCACTGTGACGTCATTATGTAACAATTTACCAGTAATAAAAGCGGTATGCTGAGAACTATAAAAGGCATATCAAAGATAGTCTTTGTTTGTGGTGGTTTGTGATTTGTTTGCCATACAAAAGTGGATGAAGACCACTTGTTAGACACAAATTATTTCATGTAGTTTAAAATAATGACGCCATCCTGTCGAAAGTTATTGAAGGGACAAGTTTCAAGATAATCAGTTCCACTTTGATTGTTTAATTTGATAAACATATACTTCAGAAATTTTATCTTGAACAAACGATGAAACCAACCACATTTTTCAATGGCACGCATCCAAATCCTGCGATATCATCGAACCGTATCGGGTATTGTCCGATTATCTCGTGTTTATAATTAAAACAAATAACTCTATGGCAGATGAAAAGAAGCCAAGCTTTCTGCTATCAGTATAGCAGAGAGAATATTTAACGTTTTTGTAAAACGAATTTTCGACTTTTCTACTCTCCTGCTTCCTGAACAGCAGATTGAAGTTTTCCTCCGTTTGCTGGCAGACGAAAGGTGGCTGTCTGCTTTCTCCTTTCAGAAAAGCAGAAAAGTGGACAGAACGTTTTGACAACTGTGCTTCTGTATTCTAGCAGTAGAAAACCATCTATTCGATTTTACAAAAACGTTAAATCTGCTTTTGGGCTATTCAGATAGCAGGTAAAAGGTATCCATACTCGTTCCTTCTTGGTGTCTCGAGGTTGCGCCAATTTTTTGTATCGTCCTCATTACTGCTGTTATCACGGACGCGCACCTGCACACATAACCCTTACCATCTCATCAACCAATTTTTAAGTGAGTCGCATCATTTCAATATATCTCTCAACCACATTATCTAAACAAACATGTACATGCTTTCTTCTCATGGCCCATAGCATTTATAAATAGGATGCGATGCTATTTTCGCCGCTATGTAATTAACACAAAACCGGGAGCGTTTCTGAAGCACAAGGAATGTATATTTCACACTTGTTTTTGGCCTGGCAAATATTCAGACCTAGCGGGAGTAGTGGGACTAAGTGATCACTTCCAGCCAGGATGTTGTTGTCCAAGATTTTAGCTACAACCAGAAATTCAGTATTTCCGATTTGCTGCCAACCAGCTGCCTCAACCTTCTCCGGGGTGACTTTCACTCACACACACACAAACAAGTATAGCCTTTTTAAGATGTGGTAAAACGATTTGCAAAACGCAAGTGGTATAAAACAGTCTAAATCTGTTTTTCACAACTACAAAATAACGTTGGCTGGAAGCACTCTACACCTTTGAGGAACTTGCTGGTTATTTTTGTCATGAATTGCCATTTACAAGCGTCTGTAGAGTCAGTGGCTGGTTCATGTACTGAGTGAAAGTTACCGTAGAACTGGAAGTTCTAACTACATTTTCTAAATGCCCTCACGGTGTTGTTCAATCTATCAAAACTACAAACCGTAGATCGTAGCTACTATTGGAAGAGAGTGGTATTAACCAGTACCACACATTTCAATATGTCACAGTGCCTCCAAAAATGAAGTGCGCTGAATCATGACTGCATTTGCTTTATTGTGCACCAGAACAACAAATATTAAAAAACACTGGCATGCGTACAGGCAAATTCGAAATTTTACATCACCAGTGTATAACCATCATATGTAAAACCATATAATTACGAGTGTTAGGAGTGAACACTCCCACAACCTTCTAAATGTTTAATTTAAACTATTACAAACATACCGTTTCTCCCTTAGTTTTGTGCATTTATTATTTGATCATGCAGTGTGATCAGAATTCTGAACCTTGCAAAGCTAATACAAACCTTCCTCATATTCATCATATTGAAGAAATATCATGTATTTAAAACTCTTGACTGTTCTCCTTTCTTGGATCAGATGGTGGAAGTCATGCTGGATAGCTGTGAACGTAACGAAGAAGGCGAGATTCTGAGTAATTTTCCCTGTGTGGCTTACGCTACTCAAGCACTAGACGTTTCAACATGGTACGGTAACGTGCCAAACCAGTGTCACTCTATTACCTTTTGAAAATGAAGATGTTTTTCTTCCGCATCTGATGTGGTTTGTTTTTACCAAATTTGTTATAGGTCAACGTTTAAGGGGTTTGGGCATAAAGACGGAAAATATTGATAAAAAAATTTAAACAAGCGAACTTCTGATAAACCTTGCTTAAATAGTCAGACGACCCTTGGAACCCCCCCTGTTGACGATTTTCCTTTTATAAATGCAGCGCCATGTACAGTGACTTTTCAGTCAGGACCCTTTGCCAGCATTGAACACGTCCCTTACATCGCCAAAAGGAAATACCCAACAACTTGACTCAAACGTGATATAATTACGTTGTTCCTGTGTATAAAAATCCATCTTTTGATCAGAATTTTCTAGAATTTTTAACTGAGTGATGTACGCTGATTTCACTCTATGAGAAGTTACATTTGGCATTAAGATTTATAGTTGTGGATTTACCATGCAAGAAAGCACGGCTTACGGACTTACACAGCTTTCAGATCAACAAGCAAAATGGAATGCCAATTGTAGATATTTTTAGTTTGACTTTTACCTTTTTTTTACCGAGGAACTATGGATAAAACCTATCTATCTGAAGAATATCTTAAAGAGACCTGCTTCCCGAGAATATGCAGAAATATAACATTTCATGTCACAGGTAACTCGTATCTTAATGCTACAGGTTCTTAGACGTGAACACGCCTCTTCTGGTAGGTAGCATTCCAGCCAATCAGGAGGAAGAACGTATTTTGAGCCGCGAGTTCATTGGTTGCATCAGAGACGTGCGGATTGACAACAAGGTTTTGGACTTCGCCGACAGCCTGACAGATTCTGGCACAGAACCGGGATGCCCTCTCGGTTAACAGATAACGGTGAGACTGGGTACTCGACTGATGTAAAATAAACCCGGGTGTGTCAAAACTGCGATTATTGTCTTGTTTAGAGGCGCTGGTGCTTGACTAACCGGAAGACCAGCGTGGTTTTAGATTTATTAAAGGTTTTATTCAGTACATGTATAGAGTAGTGTAAAAGTCGTTGAAAGATGCATACGGACAATTTAGGGTATATGCATACTTCATGGTTCGGGCGCTCGGACCTCAGTATAGATGTTCGGATCGGTAACGAAACCTCCAAAGGATCGGCAAATTCTTTAAATCATTGTCATTGTTGACAATGATTTAAAGAAAAAAAAAATTGGCCTTCCGAAAGATTTTCAGAATTTCATGCTAATTTTTTCTCGACAAGCTCAAGTTGGATAAAACCCAAAGTTTGTTCACTTGTAAAAGGACAGCCCGATTTTCAGAAGACGTGTTTTTTTCCCGTAAATAACATGCCCTTGAAGTAGGGAAATGAATTGATATTTTATCTGAGCAATGTCGAATATTTTGCTGAACATTAACACTTGGAGAGACAGCTGAGACATTTTTGAGGTGAGAATTTTGGCATACATGTACAATAATTTAATGAGTTCAGTTCGTGCAGTGGTGTTCAGCTATGCGAATGCGTTAATGCAACAGCAGTTAATTTTCAATCCAGTGACTTCATCATTCAAAAAGTTGCAAATTTATAAATTTTTATTACTGTGCGTTTTGTAAATAACTAGAAAAAATAAAAAAGTGTTGATAATAGCTAGTTTTATGGTTATCAGAGCATGTTCAGAAGTTTGATAATTAATCAATGTGTTGCTTTTCAAACTTTTAAATGCTTTTACTCTGTAAATAGCCATATTTTATCATGAAATTGTAATCCTTTATTAATATAAACATCAGTAGTTATGGTACACTTTGCACGGCCAAGAACAGGTTTGCTCGTTTGAAATAGGTATAGGTTTCCTCTTTCTACCCAACTCATTGATTTAACTGCGGTCAAATATGTACAGGTAAAAAGCATGTACGAGCTCAAATATCTCCAAACACAGTCGACTAATATAGATACTACTATTGATTTATATAATTGGCTGTCAAAATGATATGGCATTTGGAAACGAAGTAATAAATCACAAAAATTTATTTAAAAATGTTGTTGTTTGCAGTATTTCTCCCATGCATCTTAAATCTGAATGGCGTTAACGACACATCCGCAACATATGTAACGTGTAGGCCCATGTAATCTATTAGCATGGAACTGGAAATCGAACCGTTCTTTGGCAATCACTGCCGACATCGGCATTAGGCCTACCATGGGGATTAGGCGGATCCACAGCAAAACTTTTGGGCGGAGACAAAAAATCTGAAATTTCTTTCTGAAATGTTTTGTGCCCTCTCTGATGGGTGAGACTGAATTTTGAGGCTTGTTACATACAGAAGGAAGGAGAATGAAATCTGCCATCGCCTTTTTTCTTCACGTTCCTTCTATGGTCCCCGTCGGCCCCTCCTTGGATCTGTCAACGCCACGGGGATAGCTTCACAGCAACCACTGACATTTTTGCGAAATCTACTGAAGTTTGGATTAATTACAAATCTTAATGTTTCGTAGAAAATGAAAGCGTTCATGCACGCGTTCATATTTCTCACACTCTGATCAAACATGATACAGTTTCGTAGAGGGGAAACTTATCTTTCTGGTCTGATTACTTGACGTCACAGAAGTAACAACTCGTGAATTTCTCCCTCATTTGCAATTTGGTTTCAAAGGAAATGTTGACAGTGCTATACGCTGAAACATGCTAACCTTTTTTTTTCTGGGAGTGGCATAAACTCTATTGTTAGTGGTTGTGTTTTTAAATACTAGCAAATATCTCTGGAGTATTCGGTATCATTCACCCCCTCGTGCTCGGATCTCCAGAACCCGCTGAGCGACCCGAATTAAATATGTATTATTTTATTGCCAGTGGGCAGCGGGGTTTGAGGTCCTTGGGTCACAGTTTTTAAGTAAATTTTTTCCACTCCTGGCATGTGTCATGGGTTAATCTTTTGTTTTGTGTATTGTATTGTTCTATATTGCATTGTCTGTTTCGTATTGTTTGCTTTTGTGTTATGCCAAATAAATAGAAAATAATAATAATTCAGCACACTGGATAAATGGGCACGTTTGCAGAACGTGTGCATTTATCCGGTGCGTTCTCCTGGATATCCGAGCACGGTGGATGAATGTACCATAACACTGGACAGAAGCAGCATGTGTAATTGATTATTGGACATACGTGGAAATCCACTTTTGCTTCGAATGACTTCGCGGTTGCAGCCTATCAAAATGTTCTTGACAACCAAACTAGCAATGATGGCATGTTTTGGGTAGGGGTTAAATCTATTTTGAAACGACGTCAAATTTTATTTAAGCGGTGAAAGAATCCTCAGCCCTCCGAAAAATGATAGTATCGTTTCGACAATAAATAGATAAATAAGTAAATAAAAACAAATACAAAACTTGGCAAAGTGCCGGGGGGTTGCTCGCCCCCATGGATGTTTCTCTAGTTGATTAGTTGTTTTCAACCCCTCAGATTTTAATGGAATGTTCACAAGTTAGAGGCGATTTTGCTCAGTACCAAATTCAGGCGTCTCATACTAGAAATAGCCTACCAAGGTCAGAGTTTGTTGTCAAGGCCAGCAGAGTAGCAGAACTCAACCACGGCCAACCTCGAGTATTTTTCACTGAAGAAACTCATAAGTGTAAATAACCTATTTACTTTGGCAGGTTATTCTTTAAAGTTGATTGGTGTTTTGATAAGATGAAGTTCTTTCGTTCACTTAAAATATCAATACAATTTGTGAATGCAGCAAATGTGATTTTATATGTATAGACACATTTATCAAAGTCGAAGGACCTGCCTTCATTATTCAACCTTAGAGCTATTATTTTAAAAGTTTAAATTTTAGTCGGAAACTCACCTTGTCTTTCCAAATTAGAACTGTAGTACTTTGAAGGTTTGGCCATGATGGTCAGTGGTCACTTTTGATGTCAACCAAACTACCCCTGCTACCCGTGCTACTCGGTGCCGCAAATTGAGCTGGACAACAGCAACCCTACCAGTACCTGAATGCAATGCTGAAAATTGAGTTAACAGAGGTAGTTGACACAATATAGGAGGCGAAACTTAGTTATGAGGGATGTATGATTGAAAACATATTGCTGACACTTTTTCTGTGTTTGAGGCACTAGTTTTGTGCGTTTAAGACCGGCTCAGGAGCAAGGTCTTCAACGTTAGTAATGTGTGACGCACGTTTAAATACCAGCAAATGTAGGGGCAATTATTTGAAACTAAAGTTAAACTTGCTGAATCACAGAAAAACTAGGCGCCTTGTCTGAGGTTGCTAACATTCGACACGCGAGGTCGCTGTTTCTGTTCCGCAGGATCCACGTACGATATGTACGTTTAAGTTCAATGGCACGACGTTGAGGAATATATAATAATAAAGGATCACACATATTCCGCCGACCTCAGATCACGGGCTCCGTGCATGCGTGAACTATAAACTAAACATGAACCGTAAACGGATATTCGCATAAATGCACGCAGCATTGTGTGCCCTGAGCTGACCCTCGCCCCGGTCTTTGCCTGTGTGTTTGCAGCCGATGAGGCAGGAATTGAAGTTGCATGCTGTGCTTTAGATGTTCCTGGGCCAATTATGACGTGCATGTAGGTCCACGCTGCTTGGTAAGTTATTTCATCTACCTCCATGGTTATTTGTAGGCATAGGCCTGTAAGGCTGTAGCCTTTCATCATCCCACATACCCATAAGTAATAGGTAGGGAGTCCGGCACTTTTCAGGTTGTTGGTTTGTTTGACCCCCACAAATTTAGTACCCTTGGAAAGAGAATTTCAAAAGAAATTGAATGGTAACAAATTTAGCTCAATAGCTGTTAGTATAATGAAGTTATGGATATGTTTTGGTATTAAAAATAGGTGTAATTAATTTAGTCTGTCACTTTTGGGGGTGGACAGAAGTCTCATCATTGTATTTGAGCCACATGCAGTCTTGTACCTCAGCAGTTCCTCTTCCGGACTTAATTGCTGGAGTCGGACAAAGATCTGTAATTAAGACACAGAGATAGGCATAAGCCTTATCTGATTAATCGCAAATACTGCATAGGTGATTTTGCACAAATTACCCCTTTTTCCTTCCCACAATGCCTTACTACCATTGTGCAAAATCACCCATGCAATATTTGCGATAAGGCTTATGACAGACAGAGGAAGTGTAAACAACATCTTTTATTGTGGAGAATTTTATCAATGATCAACATAGGGTATACAGGACAGTTGAGTTGGCTTTGACTTTTGATGTTTGAAAGATCACTGAAGCATGGTTTTGATGTGATTTTTGTCATCAATAAATGTATAAAAATAGGGGACCAAGTCTGTCAGGTGTCATAAATTATTTTAAGTCTGATTGTGTTTGACAAACAGACTTTTGATGAAATTTGATTGAAACAACTTGTGGATTATGCACTTGTTATTTGCATCTTAACACATCTTTTCTCGGAAAGGACAGCATTCCTGGTGGTAAGATTTTATAGATTGTCTGACATTATTACGTACTTACATGTACTTTACAGTAAGATATTTTGAGATAATTTGACAGTCCCGTTGTTAAGATCTTGCAAATCCTATACACTGCCTTTAAAGAATGCATTTTACTAGCCGTAGCAATTTTTACTAGAATTTATTCTCCAGTCTAGTGCTAAGGTTGAGGCCTACCATGAAGCACTCTTTCTGTTGTGACTGCATTTTTTTTACAACGTTGGTTTGTATTTTTACTTGGGCCATTGTTGCCGTACTTTCACTGTATTAATGTCTATAGTAATGGTTCTACCATCCTCCATGGTTCTATCATCCTCCATGGTTCTGCCATTCTCCATGGTTCTACCATCCTCCATGGTTCTATCATCCTCCATGGTTCTGCCATTCTCCATGGTTCTACCATCCTCCATGGTTCTATCATCCTCCATGGTTCTGCCATTCTCCATGGTTCTACCATCCTCCATGGTTCTATCATCCTCCATGGTTCTGCCATTCTCCATGGTTCTACCATCCTCCATGGTTCTATCATCCTCCATGGTTCTGCCATTCTCCATGGTTCTACCATCATCCTCAATTGCATCCTCTAGTGATTCTACCATCCTACCATTAATTTTAAATGAAATATTTGTAAATTTATATAATTAATTTTTATTAATTTATGCAATTGGTTATGTGTATACCTGCATGCAAATTTTTCAAATGTATTAATTTTGGGTGGGTGTACAGAAAATGGAGATTTAATAAAACACACACACAAATATGGATATATGGCAACAACTGCACCATTCTTCAAATATACCAGGTATACTCCTGCCTACAAATGGACATACACTATACATGTTCTTATGTGTAAGTATCAGAAAATGCTTAGTCATTATACAGAAGTGCTGTGTCATCATCTCAGTACAGTACACGTGTTTGCATTGTACATGTACCATCTGTTACTGTATATACATGTCACCATGTACATGTACATGTACATTATACAGGAGTCCACAGAGATTGATCTCCTAAGATGAGAAGGTTGAAGCAATAGGACATTGTGGGAATGACCCATTCAAACATGTACAGTGGTGCATGTGTGAGGTGTGTGCATCCGATTGACTAGGGATACATTTTATACAGTGAGGTTTCGAGATAGAATTCAAGTTTATTTTGTTGTCACTCACAGGAACAATAATGACCTCCCAAACTGTAGCTGCACTACGAAGACTGGTGCATCGTAGCTTGGGCACCGTTCAAGCCCTCAACACTGATGGGCCGTTACTGGATTTCAGTCCGAGTCAACTCGGGATGAGGAAAGTGCACAGCGTAAGCTGTACCCATGCAGGTGCCTCAACACACCAATCTATGGCTACATTCAAATGTACACAGATGCCACAGTTGCAGCTGAACCGACCTCTCAGTCATTCAAGTAGATGGTGTCAGCAAGAGGAAGCTCAGGCCAGTGGCAAGCAGACAACGGAGCCAGTCACGGGGAAAGCAGACTCTTCTCCAGCTTCTAGTGCAGCCAGTCATCCTCTGCCTCAACTTGAAGTGCCTGACTACGACAAAGAGTTGCTGTTCAAAGGACTGGAGACAGATTTCCCATGTTTATCAAGGCTGTAAGTTAGAGGGATTGTTGCTTATTGTATATCAAAGATCAATATTCATGTACTTCCACTCTTATTCATGTGTTTCTTCTCTTGCCTGATGCCTTCTGTAGACTTCTTTTTGGTGCCACAGATTTTAGAATTATTATAAGGTGGAACTGGCCCCGTTTTACTTTCTCTCCAATGTCCTTTAAACCATTTCAGGGCTCACGTAGAAAGTATTGGTCCATTAGATGGAATGTTGAAAAATAAGAAGTGTACAAAAAAAGAATATACATGTACCTTTATACAGCATCTTTAAAAGTTTAAGGCCAATCAAAGGATGGGTACTCTTGAGACTTTTCTCCTCATGTCTAGATGAACCTGTCGTCAAATTGGTGTTGGGTACCTACTGTCTGGTGCTTGTGGTCCTTTAGGAGCCCTGCATCCAGATATGCGAAGGATCTTTATAACAAAACTGTAGACAGGAATGAGAGATCTTCATCACACTTATGTAGGCATTCATAAGATCAGTGTTTCCACCTTGCTTTCAAACTCTGTGCCATTGTAAAGGCTGATGGATCATGCTTATGGCTTTCGTTTATTGTTTCTCCTTTCTAGCCCACCAGCAGGACCAGAGCCAGAGTACCACAAGATCAGCTCTGGCTATAAAGTCTTTCACTCACAGGAGCCCTTTCACATGAAATATGGTGGTGTCCTACCCGAGCTACACATTGCCTATGAGACCTGGGGAGAGCTGAATCAGGACAGAAGCAATGTTGTCATACTGAACACTGGAATGTCAGCTAGTTCACATGCTAAAAGCCATGAGGTAATTAACGTTTAGAAAAAAATTCAGGTGATTTTATACCGACTTTTAAATATAAGAAAATATCAAACTTTAAGTTCTTGTAAAGTTGACATCTGTTGATGTCATCAAAATAATGTTCAGCTCTTTGGATCAGGGCCGATACATATTCAAAGTTAAAGTTCCTATCTGAAACAGTCTTGGAGAACAGCCGTGGAGAAAATGTTTTGCCGGAAAAATAAAGATGGAAAGAATGACAGAAAACAAGATTTGTTCAAACGATTTCGAAAGAGTTGTGCCAGATCACTCATTGACTTAAATGCCAATCCTGGCAGTCATTCCCAAGGCAGAAGTAGCCAAAGGATGGTGAAATAATGCTGGCCCCAGCCCTGTCACAGTCATAATTGGACTGTTGTGATTTTCTGCATACAGGACAACAAGACTCCAGGCTGGTGGGAGAAATTTGTTGGACCAGGCTGTTCCATTGACACTGAGAAGTTCTTTGTAATCTGCTTCAATGCCCTGGGTGGTTGCTATGGGTCAAGGTAAGCTACATGCTCATAACAAATTGAGAATGGTTTTCTCCTAGCACAATTTGAGACTGATAAGCATCATTTACATACGTGTACTGAATACTCTAGACAGCCATTTGTTCTGGTCATGGGCCTATCAACTCCAATTTTCCTAGTTTAACATGAAATTCAAATGTTATTCTATGGACTTAAACCCTTATAGTTGATAGTCATTGTCATGTAGGTGTGTGCATCATAATCCAATGAGTCCGCATTTCGCAGTAGAAATTTCACTCTACATGTACATACACTGTACCCCACCTTAGCTGCGCTCTGTGCAACGTTGTGGAGCACACACCCCACATGCCAATAACTGGTAGCAGAACACTTTGAATATCTTGTCCTTAAAATTCTCATTCAAATACCGCTTTGCCAGTAATGTGTCTAGGATGTTTACATAGGCTTATTTGACTAATTCTACCAGGGATATTTCAGTGATTTTTTCATGAGACCCAACTGTACGCTACTGGCCCAAGAGGATTAGTTTCCAGCTTTTTCACAAATTTCTCAGCACCTAACAGTTCACTGTGCTGGCAGCAGTTGAAGTAATCACATTTCCATGGATAGCTAAACAAAGGGTTTTTAAAGGCCATTTCATGGACAACCGATCTTCTTAAATGTGTTGACAAAAATGAAAATGTTGGTTTGCACTAAATCTAGGGAAAAGTGGTTGATTTGATTGTGTTTGTTCTGTGTGTACGAGGCATGTGCTACTAACAAAACAAACAGGTCATCTTGTTAATAAATTGGATTTGGACTTCAAGCGATTTTTCAAACTCTGTGTCCTTCAATCTTTTAAATACAGATTAGGAACTTTGATTCAGTGCTTTGTTTTATGATGATATTCAACTTCAACTTTCAGTGGTCCATCGTCAGTGAATCCACTATCAGACAAGCCGTATGGTACACACTTTCCTATGGTAACCATTGAAGACATCGTCCATTCCTCTTTCATGCTTTTAGATGACCTTCAGATTCATCAGGTGAGTGCCAGGGTTTTACTTTGATGTCATTCATAATACAAGATAGCCTCAGTGGCATGTTTTGTTTTGGGATGGTACGTCATCAAGGCATTGCTCTTATTTACATACGGGTAGTGAGTGATAAAGGTTATTGTGCACGATAAAACTTGAACTCAGTGGGTTTATGTGGGACTGTTCCTACTGAGATCACACAATATATGATAGGTTGAAGATGCATTTAAAAACCTGAGTGAGATTTCAAATATGCATCATGCTGACGCACGTTCTAGCCAATCAGCAGTTTTGTCAAGTGTAATGTCACAGATTGATTGGCATGATTGTGTGCTGGTGTTATGTGTGCTTTCCATTGTTCCTGTAAGGAACTTTTGTTACTGTGGAGAGTCAGTCATTGACATGTACAGCATAGCAGGCTAGCTGCCAGTACATTTACAAAAGCTTGTCATAATGTGCATGAGGTAAATACAGCATCAGTGGCATACCCAAGTGAACGGCTAACAACATTTGACTATTATTTTTACTGTTCAGGTGCATGCTAGCGTTGGTTCCTCTATGGGAGGAATGACATCATTGATGGCTGCGGCACTGTATCCAGACAGAGTTGGCAGGTACTTTTTTGAATAATGATGTAAATGTAATTTGTGAATTCGTGCTAAATTGCTTTACCCAAAGAACCCCCCTTTAACCCTGTTATGAGAACACTGTCTCTTTAGAGACATGTTATTTCCACCGTGGTAACATCAACTATTTGGGGATTGCCTGGCACCAAACGTATTGCACCAAAATCCTGTGTTTAAAGCATTGCACAAGTCTGAGAGTCATACTCCAGAAATATATTTATCAGATGCAGTGTAACTTTTAAAAGTGCAGTCCCAGAGATTTCTGTAGGAGTCGTTGCCCTAGAGGCTCACTGAAATGAGCATACAGTTTCTTTGTGTTTACCTTGACGTCTCATATTAACAGTTTCCTTTTAATATAGAGCTATCTGTATCTCGTCGTGCGCTCAAACTCATCCATCAACAATAGCCATGCGGTATCTACAGCGTCGAGCAATCATGACTGATCCTAATTGGGCTAGAGGGCATTACTATGGTGTTTCATACCCCAGAATGGGCATGAAGCTTGCAAGGTATGAGTAGGTACTGATTCTTACTAGGCTAGGGTGGATGCTAGCTGTCATGCTATGGTGCCTCCTCCTGCCTGAGGATGGACAGTCAACTACGAACTGATTCTTGCAAGGCAAGGAATTTTTTTCATGACAAAAACAGCCCTCTTAAAAACTGAGGCACTTTCACACACCAAATTCACACACAGGGGGAAGTACCTAAGTAAACACAACTCCAAGTACATCACAGATTAATCACCCTTAATTTCTTGACCAAACAATCAGTGCCACAGGCCAGGAACTACCTTCAGTGCTTCTTGGGTAGTACAGTATGTGTGCATGGATGTTTCTAAGATATTGGATAATTTTGACAGATAACATACATTTAAAAAAAAGAAGAAAAACCCGTCCATTGATGAATTACAAGCCTCGTGTGATACTGACAAGTATATGTTGAAGATTTCATGTACATCAGAAATCAAATGAAAACTAGAGGAGGTTATTAGTAACTGAACTCTGAAGAATTTGCCCCTGAATGTTCGCTCAAAATTGTAACATCAAGGAAACTATTCCACTGATATTCCTACATTTTATTGAAATTATGTTCCTTTTCTTCCCTGTTGCACATTTTGGAAAGTTCTTACTGGAAGAAGAATCGTGAAATGAAATCAAGTTTTACTTCATGTCCGTGAGTCAACATTCAAAACTTGCACACAACATGCAGTGTGGTTACGCTGGTTTCCTTGTGCTAAAATGGCAATTTCCTAAATGGGCTGTGCCGGGAACCATTTCACAAGTAGGCCTACTAGTGGAGCATACATATTCTTGTCTGAAGTGCAGTGGGAAACGAAATGCCAGGCAGGCAGTTTTTGAAAATGATAGGACCTATGTAGCGAGATACGAATTGAAGATTTCATTGAGTTTGGTAACAAAAGCTAGGGTCTATTTGCATATTCATTGGTTGTTTTGGTGTTTTTTTAGGTACAGTACAAAGCTTTCCATGTCAGAAATGCCAGGATTGCATGTACTGTGCATTCATGCACACCCGATAATTTTCTGATCAGTTTCCTAAATAGGCCTATGCTGCTGCAAAAAAGATTGTTCTCGGCTTTCCCATGGTTGATTTTCATGGTTCAAAAACATGAATAAAATAACATGTTGTGACTTTTACTATTTTATATTTCTGTTTAACCAACTCAATAAATGCATTTCACAGAGAAATGATGTGCTTTACATCAGGCCCCAGGTAGAGCCCCCCAATGTGATTGATGCTGATAAGCATTTTAATCTTCTGGGAGTGGTTAACTACAGGATTTGTGAATTTGGTGTGTACCAACCCCAGTGGCCTGTGTGTTCACTGGGGTTGGGTTTTAGAGGGATGTTTACGTAATGTTTGCTATTGGATATCACACCTTAGAATGGGCATGAAGCTTGTAAGGTATCCACATCACCCAGTTACTCTTTTAATATGACATACACCTTATACCCAGAAAATCCTATATCAGGTAAATTGCATGTGTTTGTAAGTTGTATCAGTGCCAGGCATGTTTGGATGTTGAGAGTATTTTCCTCTATACAGTAATGTGAATGCTGTTTTACTTGCCAATCTCTGTTATGCAGAGAGCTGGGCACTGTTACATACCGAAGTGGTGCAGAGTGGTTGAATCGGTTTGCTCGATCAACCATCAGCGATGAACCTCCTTCGCTGTGTCCACATTTTGAGATTGAGCGTTACATAGAGCACCAAGGAGAACAATTCAGTGTCAAGTATGATCCCAACTCACTCTTATATCTGTCCAAGGTAAGGCAATATGTGCCAGTAGTTATGAGTCTAAAATAAATTGAACTTGATGTGCTCTTGGAATTTCATTTTTGGAATAATTATACAGTACTTTCCAGATTTTGTCCTTGACACGGGAAATTAGAGGATAAAACAAACTTTAGTATGTTGCTCGGCTATTTTTCACACTTGCCCAGAGGTACTACCCGTTTGTGCATATTCAGGAGTCACATTAATCTTTTGCAGATTTGGAAAGAAGTTTGAGGGGAAATATACGTGTCATAAAACTAGTTTACAGTTTGTCAGCAAGTTTGTTATGAGGCCATTTGTCTAACTACACCGTTGGAAAAAGCTCACTGGTCTACGCATTTCGTTAAACAGTATTTTTGGCAGGAGGCCTTCACAGTGCGTAGTATTGGATGAGATGTACATGTATGTGACTTTTGGGTAGATAAAGAAAGGTTTTTAATGGGGATTTCAGTTCCATTTGTGTGGCATTGCATGTGAAAACTTTAGGGTAAAGATAAACTACATGATGATGTGCAGTGTATGCACGACCATGAAGTTGGGAAACATGACCTCTTTGTGACAAATGTGGCTGACGTCGTGCACTGTATCATGGATTGAAATCTACTTATCTGGTTTCTTTGTTGTAGGCTATGGATTTCTTTGACATTGGGGAAGGTTTCCCATCTCTTCTAGAAGGCTTAGCAAGAGTGAAATGTCCTGTGATGGTGATGGGTGCCAAGTCAGACATCCTGATGCCTGTTACACAGCAGAGGCAATTGGCTAACTTGCTACAAGAATCAGGTTAGTACATAGGATTTCAAATGAACACTGTTGTCAGATCTCATAGGGTACCTCTATTACTTAATATTCCCAAAGTTGGAATGTTCCTGTTCCCACAGGAATGCTCCTTAAGAATGCTGTGTGTTCCTGATGGGAGTTGCATATATACATCCTGCATATTTGAATTACAAAGAAGGGGTTCCTAGATTAGAATGCACATACATAGACAGCATGCATTGTTCTTAAAAAAAAATGATGGATGTTCCCAGTTGGAACTAACAGTGCTCTTGATGGAACTGTTTTTGGCATTTTCACTTTTTAGACACACTGTATATTACACTGGGCTCATTTGTGAGTAGAGCCAAATTTTACCCTTTAAAATGCATGAGATCAGACGGTTTGTTTTGTGCAACAAAATGTGGAACACAGTGACCCTGACTTAAGGAGGGTTCAGCTGCTTATTTTCAGTTCTGTAAGCAGAATAGAAAATCAGGAAGAGAGTCAAAAGGCTAAGCACATAGGAGGATTACTTCAGACGTTCCTTCCATAAGCTTTACATGGGCCAATAAAGTGTAGTGAGAAGGCTTGACATTTTTAATCCTAGTAGAATCTTTCTTTGAGGCAAATGGGTTGGGAACAGAAACAAGTGTGTTAAGAGTTAAGCAGAAAGATAAGTGACGGTGGGGAACACAGGTTAAGGGAATGGAGAACAAAGGACCGGGGGGGGATAGGCATTACAAAAGAAGGTGTGGACAGGGGAGGGAGTGTTGAAGTGTGGAACAGCGCGTTCCCACTTGAATTGGGAAAACGTGGATCTTGATCCAGCATTTTGGTGTGATCGTTATCTTATTGCAACAAAACCACAAGTCGCGTTCCCACTAGTGCTTGATCTACCTTTTCGGACGGAAATGTCGAGCCCGAAAGGTCACCGAGTTCAGTATTGCACATGTGCTAGCTTGCTGAGCGCGCACTCTGTGGCAGTGTGGCATGCTGGGGCGGCATGCGTGTGACCCTGCGGTGTTCTGGGTGCAGAGTTCTACTGACGTGACGACCTTGAATCGGACCGAATGTTCAGCCTAGTACGTTGGCTCTTCAAACTTTGCTTCCATTTTTGATACTCTGTCACATGCTGTGGGCTATACGCTAACACGGAATCAGTTTTTGATGGAGAGCAAGTGAAATTACACAAATGAAAAAGTTTAAGAAACGGACGAATGCGCAACGAAAATTGTGAAAGGGCAAGGCACACATCGCGGCATGCATGCATTGGGCATGCGTGGTGACACATTTTGCAAGCTCGTAGTTCAGCAGTTGTTTATTGTGCATGCAGTGCACGTTAAAATTTCACATGAGCTACATGCCAAAAAATGTATTTCTTTGTTAATCAGACCACAAAAGTTTCGCGCCACTCGTGCAGGGACAGATGTTGACAGGTCAAATTGCTGGATCAGATCCACCTTTTGCATTCCCATCTGATCGTGATCCACCAATTGCAGGATCTGATCCACCAATTGGGGGATCTGATCCACCAATTGGGGGATCTGATCCACCAATTGGGGGATCTGATCCACCAATTGGGGGATCTGTATCCTGCTCCAGAGGAGGATCAAGAAAGGTGGATCTGATCCTGATCCACTGCAGAGATTTGATAGATTTGCTTTGTCTTTGACATGATGCAGGCAATGATGGGGTGACTTACTATGAGCTGGATTCCATCTACGGCCATGACACATTCCTGCTGGATTTGAACAATGTTGGTGCAGCTATAAAGGTAGAACACTTCAAATAATATGCAACACTAGTCTCCGTTTCTGCAGTATGTTTAATGAAAACAAAGGTTGGGCAAGTCTTTGGTGCTACACTACGTGTATGCACATTGAGCCTAAGTTTTGAGTTTGTGTCAAATGGTAATGCCAGTCTTTGATGTATAGAGGGTTTGCAAATGACATCATAAGTTTTCTTGTATTGGTACAATTCTTCACACTAGTGTGGTATGCATACCACAAAGTCTCTTAGTCTTCATGTACCCTAGCTTGAGAGCTTCAAGTCTTCTGAAGTTGAGGCCATGCATCATATATGTACATGTTTCTACTTGCGTGTCGAGGTGCGGAGTACACCATCAATTTCTTTCTCAAGTGGCATTTGCTTTAATATCAAGCAAGCCTACATATAAAACTGATGAAGGGGTACCTTTAATGGGGCTCGTTGCTTTGCCTCTTTAAGAAGTGGAAAAAAGAGCCTCATACTTCTGGGGGTAAGGATACCTGTGACCTGAGTGTGTAACATGCACATGACAACCATTTGAGTAACACCTAGACATGACCCCAGACATGACCTTAGACATGACTCCAGGAATGACACCAGAGTGTTACTAGTCCAAAATACATGTATTTCTTGGAGCATTAGATTTGGCTTATAAAATTGGATTCCATTGACAATTTGGTGAAATGTTTGGGCCACCATTTGAGATACTTATATCTCTTCCGAAATGTGAAACTTCATACTTGAGTGTGGAAAACCTGCAGTATTTGTAAGTACCACTTTCTGCTGTGTGATTCTTTTGCAGGGGCAGCTAGAGACAGAGTTAAAAGAGCGTGGCGTGGTTCGTAAAGGCAAGCCCAAATGGCTTCAAGGTCAGGACAAATAAACTAGCCATGCTGTGTAATACAGGCAAACTCATTACATGAACAACTATGTGTCAAAGCAAACAAGTGGCCAATAGACATCATGGTCAGTACAAGCTACTTGTATATGTCGGTCCTATTTAAAAGGAGTGTTCAAATGAATAAGGCATTACAAATTGAAATGAGAAAACTTGGTGTAGGTTGAGATTTTTGCACAATTTTGATGAGCTCAGACCTGATGTGGCCAAATCACAATGATATAAGATAATGTCAACAATTAGTGAACATTTTGAAGAACAGTTTTACATTTCTAACCATTGACTTTTACTTTTTCAAAGGAGAAACTTTATTTAGTAATCAAAGAAAATGCAATGAACAAATTTTATCTAAAAGGAAATAATAAAAGATTAATTTGAAAACCATACAAACTAAGTCCATAAACAAAAACAAACAAAATTTGTGATTGTAGTTTAATCAATTCTGATTGGCCAAAAGAAGGGACAAAATAAGCCAAAGTGAAATAAATATTCACTCAGAGTGTACTTAATCCTGATAAGCAGATGAGTATCTATCATGAAAGTTGGAAGTGTTTATGTGCATTATTATCTTTAGTCCTTCATTTACTTGTTTTCTGAGTTGAGTTATTTACATGTGCATGCACAGTCTGCTTTGACTGTTACAGGTGCATTATAGCTTAGATTCTTATTTTTTTCCCTAAAGTAAATTGTACTTTTTTCAAAAAGTAACTGACTATTTAGCAAGTTATCATAATGTCAGCCGAACTGACATTTTATGAAATGTGATTTCTAAGAACAATTTGTAACTGTTTCACAGAGACAAAAACTCTCTATGCAGTGTAAAAGTAAACTTTCAAGAAAATCACATAAATGTGAATTTGGTCACTTTTTACGACAGGAAATTCTCCAAGATTGACTTCAAAACGTTTCAAATGCACAAAATCAGACTTTCCAACCCATAATTTGACTGTAATTAAGGATTATTCACCTCAAATGCATGCCTTGTGAAAATGCAAAAATGTGCGTACTTTTGGTATTGCGTGCATCAGGTGCAAAGTTATTATATTTGCACAAAGTTCTAGGTCAACTTTGTCCCATGAAGAGAGAGTTGTGCCCTTTATTGCTGATTGCTGAACACAATCTCTATGGAGCACACGCTTTGTCCTTTCATTGAAACAAAAAATGCAGTTTTTAAGTTGACTTGAATAGTTTTGGCCAAAAATGATTTCACCAACTTGTCCACATCAGAAAGTGTGGTTAATTTTGCCAAAAAACAGACATTTGAAAAACTGATGTTTTTTGGCATGTTTGTCTCTGTTAAAACAGTGACGAATATCAATGTGTTAATGTGACTGTCAAATAATATTGCTTTGTAAACTCTCCAGGGATATCAGAAGAATTCACTGCTGATTTCAGCATGAATACCACCAGTCATAAGTTTCTTTAGGATAAGTTATTCTTTTATTTATTCATTCTTCAGTGTACACAAAGACTCTGAACTCATTACTGGAGTAAGGTTTGACATGAAACAGGTTTACACTATTGGCTCAGTTCAACTAGTTGGCCAAACTGGCAAGGTCTACTGACACAAGCAAGGCTGGATTAAGTGTTTAAGTGTCTGTAGGCCCTAGAGGCACCAGTGTTCCGTAGGCCCTATGACATCAGTTGGCCCCTGGCACCAGTGTTCTCTCGGTCCTAGTTGCAACTTTCATGGTTTTGTAGGCCTTAGGCACCAATGTTTGGTAGGCCCTAGGTGCAAGTGTTCCCTAGGCACTGTTCTATAGGCTCTCCTCATAGACACCAGTACCAATTTCATAGTGCTGATAAGCACTTGAGTTTCCCATTTTATGTTGATGCTAATTTGTACTAATTGCTTAGTAGGAGCTAGTTTGAAGCTTTAATAAAAAAAATGTCAAAGAGAGAGCATAGGTGTCTTTGTAGGCCTTCATTTTTTCATAGACCCCCAATAGTAGGCACAGTGCCTACTATCTTATGCTTATTGGATAATCCAGATCTGATTAAAGGCTCACTATACACAACTACACAAACTAGTCCAAGATGTTGAAACAGGGTGGTGTTCCTTAGATATATTGCAGAAACAGCTAGCAGGATATCTAGCTGCCAGAACGCAAAAGGCAAGAAATAAAGAAATCAGCTGATGAATTCACTGCTTTAACTTTAAATGGTGTTTCTTCATTGGTTAGATGATGTCCAGTATTTTGCGTATACAAAACCACTACTTTTTTCTTTGCATGAATGGGCATGGATTCAAAGTAGTGACATCAAAGGCTCATAGGGAGTACAAACCAGTTTGACTTACGGTGAGATCTAAACTGGAAATAAAACTGGACTAATGAAACTACATTTGTTGGTATCACTTCTGATTTACTATTCACATGAAGATAAGGTGTGGAAATATGAGAGGGAAAATGTGTACCAGGGAAACACTGCCATTGTAAGGTGTGGAAACATGAGAGGGAAAATGTGTACCAGGGAAACACTGCCATTGTAAGGTGTGGAAACATGAGAGGGAAAATGTGTACCAGGGAAACACTGGTTATGACTTTTTTGAAGGAAATGAAGGAAAAGAATGTTTTCAAGTATGTTTTTACATCTGAGAACTGGGTAAGAGTGTTGTTTGCTTTCCTTTGCTATGCTATTGTCAATCAGTGCCTTTACTGAAATCCTGTAAAACATCTCAGACAAAACAGAATGTATTTGTAGCACAAATATGGCACGAGTGCCAATATGGTCAAAACTGAAGTGTAAATGTACTCAAGGAAGTTTATTAATGTATGAGGATAAACTATTTTTGTATTTTCTATTCCGACATCTGTTTTAATTGTGCTTTTATATTTTGGATTGAAATGTCTTGCATTGTAACCAATTTTATAAGAGCTGTAGTTTGGACAAGTATACCAAACTCGGAAAATTTACTTTCAATGACATTTTGAATCCTCGTGTGAAATCCGAAATATACCAGATATACCTTGAGCTTAACTCTTGTGGATGATTTCCATTCCAAGCAGGAGCAAGAGAGGGCNATTTTTTTTTTACATAACAATGACAGTCAGTGCTTGTGCACAGAGGTTCATGTGTATTTGACGTAGGATGCGCTGAACATATGTGACACATTTGTTTGAATCATTGATCTCCATTAAAATCTATCAGCCCGGTTGAAACACTTCCTGCTAGCTTGTCTCTTCATTCTTTGCCGGTAGTGACACTGCACTTCAAATTTTGACTTTCTATAAAATACATGTACAATTGCCAACTTTTGATTAACAGTTAAATGCTACAAATGCTCTTTTCAAGACTCATTTAAACTGCAGTTGTGTGGCATTTCTAATTTCCTATATCTTAACTACTTCGTGCCAGGGAGCCGCAGAGCCACGGTGCCCAGTTCCAGACAAAAGAGCTGGTCTGTGTAACAAAAAACTATACGGAACAAAGGACCTGCTGCTGGGAATTGCCATCATTCTTTGCCTTCCCTTTTTCAAAGGTAATCCAGCACTGTTTTGTAAACAGTATACCAGTGTTTTGGGCATAGCTCACCTTCGGATTAGCACCATGGACAAAAGTGCTCCAGGGCCCCATTGATGAGCGACACAGCGCCGCTGCTCGCTAATCCAGCCGGGTATGAAAAAACGCTACTGGCATTCACCGAAACAAAGGAAATTATGCAACACCACACAATTCTGGGCTCCCTTTTACAGGGCTGCAGGATTGGGTTGAATACTCGGGTGCCAATGAAGATTGCCTGACAGATTAGAGTAGCGACCAGAGTCGTTTGTGTGAGTGTAAACATCCAGTAATTGAACACATGAAATTTTGAAGAATTTTGAAAACGGAAAATCTTGAAAAGGTCCCGCCATCACATACCGCTCAAGAGAAATCCACCCGGCAGTGGTCAAAATATACTAGACAGCAAAAGAAACTTGCCACTTCTGTCAAAGGCCACACAAATAAACGTTTTTTGTACACAGGTATGCTGCAATACCCATTACTAATCACATGCCCAAAAGCAAGTGATTATCTTTACAACAAAGAAGGAATTGACATGCACAGCAACTTGTTGACGGAATCAAAAATCACAGAAAATAGCAGAATGAGCTTTAAGTTTTACACAGAAATCAATGTCACAGGACAAAAGAAAGAAGTCACAATCATTACTTTTCAATAATGTGCATGCATAGTCAGTAAGGATGGTATCCCTATGCAGAAACCACTCATGCACGTCATTTTGACAAAACAGGTGTCCACTTTGTCACTNTTTTTTTTTTTTTACATAACAATGACAGTCAGTGCTTGTGCACAGAGGTTCATGTGTATTTGGCGTAGGACGTGCGGAACATATGTGACACATTTGTTTGAATCATTGATCTCCATTAAAATCTATCCGCCCGGTTGAAACACTTCCTACTAGCTTGTCTCTTCATTCTTTGCCGGTAGTGACACTGCACTTCAAATTTTGACTTTCTATAAAATACATGTACAATTGCCAACTTTTGATTAACAGTTAAATGCTGCAAATGCTCTTTTCAAGACTCATTTAAACTGCAGTTGTGTGGCATTTCTAATTTCCTATATCTTAACTACTTCGTGCCAGGGAGTCCGGTTTCGGGCACTGTGTGTTTATACGCAGAGCCACGGTGCCCAGTTCCAGACAAAAGAACTGGTCTGTGTAACAAAAGACTGTATAGGGAACAAAGGACCTGCTGCTGGGAATTGCCATCATTTTCCGCCTTCCCTTTTTCGAAGGTAATCCGGCACTGTTTTGTAAACAGTATACCACTGTTTTGGGCACAGCTCACCTGCGGATTAGCACCATGGACAAAAGTGCTCCAGGGCCCCATTGATGAGCGACACAGCGCCGCTGCTCGCTAATCCAGCTGCGTATGAAAAGACGCTCCTGGCATTCACCGAAACAAAGGAAATTATGCAACACCACACAATTCTGGGCTCTCTTTTACAGGGCTGCAGGATTGGGTTGAATACTCGGGTGCCAATGAAGGTTGCCTGACAGATTAGAGTAGCGACCAGAGTTGTTCATGCGAGTGTAAACATCCAGTAATTGAACACATGAAATTTTGAAGAATTTTGAAAACGGAAAATCTTGAAAAGATCCCGCCATCACATACCACTCAAGAGAAATCCACCCGGCAGGTAGTGGTCAAAGTATACTGGACAGCAAAAGAAACTTGCCACTTCTGTCAAAGGCCACACAAATAAACAATTTTTGTACACAGGTATGCTGCAATACCCCTTACTAATCACATGCCCAAAGCAAGTGATTATCTTTACAACAAAGAAAAAATTGACATGCACAGCAACTTGATAACTGAATCAAAAATCACAGAAAATAGCAGAATGAGCTTTAAGTTTTACACAAATCAATGTCACAGGACAAACAAAAGAAGTCACAATCAGTACTTTTCAATAATGTGTATGCATAGTCAGTAAGGATGGCATTCCTATACAGAAACCACTCATGCACGTCATTTTGACAAAACAGGTGTTCATTTTGTCACT